TTCCATTTGAAGATTTTAGATGAAATTCATCACCCGCACACAGTTCATTATCAGTCAAGCTTTTCTGTGGTGATCGTCGTATCAACCAATTTCCACCATGGCGGATGACCTGGACTATCTCTCCCCTGATTTCGATCTTAACTCTCTGACGGTACCACGTCTCCGGTCCATTCTAGTCAGCCATGATATTCCATACCCGGCCTCTGCGAAGAAGGCGCAGCTTGTACGAATTCTGGAGGATGAGGTTCTACCTCAGGCGAGGAGATTACTACGGGATCGCGAGCGAGTGAGGCGAACGAGTGATGGGATTACCGATATGGGAAGTCGCGCAACATCAGTAGTTAGTGATTTCAATGATCGACAAGAAGATGAAGGCAGAGATTCGATGCCGCCACCACCAACACCTTCGACGGTCTCAACGGCAACTGGGGGGAGGCGAGGACGATCGAGAATGAGTACGCGAGCCTCGACCGCCGATATTGATGATAGAACCGCTCCGGCCACACCGTCCACAATTTCTAGACGTACAGTACCGAGATCAGAGTCGAAGCGCCTTCGCGCATCTGAATATCAATATCATCATGACACCCCTGCAACACCGGTCGCAGCAGACGTCGCTACTCCCCGAAAATCGACTACTAGGAAACTTCGGAGAAGCGAGATGACACCATCGACTGAGCCAGAGCCCATGGCACGGCCAATCAAAGAAGAGCCTAAGGAAGAGAGCGTTTTCACTTATGACAACCCATTCCAGAGTGGAAGTTCTCCTGCCCCGTGGTCCGAGAAAAAGCGAAAGAGTGGATCGCTACTTCCAACTGAGAGCCCTGCTTGGGATCAGGGTCTGCGGGCTAGAAAGTCTGACGCATTCATTAAACAAGAAGACGGTGCTACTCCATCCAGGCGATCTTCCTTCCAATTCCCTATCTCGAAGTTGAAATCACCCCCCAGGCAACTTGAATCTGTGGCGGATGAGGAAGACGAGAGTGAGCTCAGTGCTGGCGAAGAGTTCACACCGGAGGAACAACTTGCATTAGAAAGGGAGCAGGCGGACTTATGGTACCCCCCTGCCCCAGACCGACAACAACAGCAAGGCTCAACGAGTCGCGCAGCGCCTTGGATCATTATCCTACTGCTGGTTGCTGGATTTGGTGTTTGGTGGCGGAAAGAGAAGATTGAGATTGGATTTTGCGGCATTGGAAAGCCCACTTGGTCATTGGCCGAGACTCGGATTCCTGAGTGGGCAAACGTCTTGGAGCCACAATGTGAACCCTGTCCTGCCCATGCGTTCTGCTACCCCGACTTTGAAGCACTCTGCGAGCATGATTTCATCCTGAAGGCGCATCCTCTGTCTCTGGGCGGCTTGGTTCCCCTGCCTCCGACTTGCGAGCCTGACAGTGAGAAAGCGCGGCGCGTCAAAGCCGTTGCTGATAAAGCTGTGGAGGAGCTGCGTGACAGAAGAGCCAAATGGGAATGTGGGGAACTCGCAGATGACGGCCAAGGGGCAAAAGGGCCAGAGATCAGTGAACCTGATTTGAAGCAGGAGGTAGCGAGAAAACGTCGGAAAGGAATGAGCGATGCCGAGTTCGATGATCTATGGAAGGGGGCGTTGGGTGAAATCCTTGGCAGGGAAGAAGTGATTAGCCAAACGAAAACGTAAGTTGCTCATTTCGTTTTGATGCAGGCGGGTTTCCCGGCTAGCGCCAGAGGATTACGGTTCTGACGTGTATACGGAACTAACAGAGGCGACACTACTATTACAGACCATCTTCTGTCGTCACCCTCACCTCAACATCAGTCAGTCGGCTCTCCCTTACGTGCGCCTTCCGCCGCTACATCCGACTCTCTCTCCTCGCGTATCGACTCCCTCTTTCAGTTCTAGCCATCTGTACATGCGCCGTGATGTATGCACGCTCAAGAGTCCTGGCTCGCCGGTCTGATAGGGCACGGGTCCCCGAACTAGTAGCCACCACGCTCGATCGCCTAGCGACTCAAGCCGCTCTGCATGCTCGTGGTGAGGCCCGTGAACCTTATATTCCAATTGGACAACTGCGCGACGACGTCCTTCGATCTGAATTGCGTGGCAGCCGGCGTGAAGAACTATGGCGACGGGTTCGCAGTGTTGTTGAAGGGAATGCCAACATTCGAGCTGCCGTGCGAGAGGGTCGTGGAGGTGATGTTGCTCGCGTATGGGAATGGATTGGGGGCATCAGCAGTGTTCGTGGAGACATTGAAGGATCGGCGACACGGCCGCGCGACAATGGCGATCTGCATTTGTCCGCCTCGTCTCCCGACCAAAGCCGTCAGCCGATGGATAAACACGCCCATTCTCCGGACTCCGCACAACCTCGTCGTCGATGGGACGAAGGCAGGCCGATCTACTGAAGGCCGCTCCGTAGTTCGCTAAACCTAATCATTTATCCTATTCTTCGCATGCTATGGATTTTCCTGACCGCCAATGGCTCTGTTTCGCAGTAGATAGCTTGTTTTCTTTACTTTCAACTCTTGATAATGCTGGGCTTTCACAAATTGGTTGGAAGCTTTGGGGAGGGTTACATACAAGCGGTGAGCACATAGCACAATGACACTAATGTGGAATTTTGGGTCGAAGGTTGTTGTTGATCCCCGGTAGTCATAGGATCAAGAGGTCACTTGGAGATACTCCCAGTCATTCTCCAGCCCAGGCGTTCTCGCTTTTGATTGGCTCGGCCCAAACCGAGGTGCCCTAAGCCGAAGTACGGCCAATATCAGGACTCCAGAGTACTATGCTGGAGACTCCTAGTATACTACTAGTACGAGTATCCTACTCAGTCCGGTGTCAGTGCGTCGTGACCGGTAGCGGCATTCTATCCCTTGGTCCAGATGACAACTGGATTCGTAACGAACTTTCCAGAGATTCTCGGAGTCTCTGACTCGTCCAGTGGAGGTCAAGTGGCAGGAATTCGCCACACCTGCCTTGAACCAATGGTGCACGATCCATGGGAATGGATCTCCGAGTTTATCTATTTAAATTTGGCTTATCTCGCCTGTTATTGTCGATCAATCACTAGCGTGATTCTGGGGGCTTTTCCTGTCGGTTCTTCGCCAAGGTACATGGCGAGTAACGACCCTGCGAGGGTAGGCGTCGGCAGTTGTTGCTTCAGTAGGGCTTAGCTGAACCCTCCAGGTCAGTGGGTCGTTTTTCCAGGCTTCCCAGTTGGGCAATTGTCTCGATTAGGTAGGAAACTCCCCCCTATTTGTTAGGAAACAGACCTCATGCTAGTGTTGGCATTGGTATAGTGACGAATTAAGGATCGAGTAGGGAATGGTTAGTTTTTTTCCTTCTCTTTTGGCCTGTTTCCTTTTTCTTTTTGCTTTTGTTTTCTCTTTTGTCCTGACGGAATTTCTCTACCTTGTGCTGTCGAGGCATGTTTCTAAGTTGTGACTCGTATACCCTCGGAAATCGAGTCAATGCATGAGAATAGCCGATGCAGCCATCGGGCTAGATTCATTGGATCCTTCGGGACGGAATCGTAACATAATGCATCCATCGTACTAGTCATGAAGATCCCTACCGTATCTCTCCTACGACTCAGGGCTAATACAAACGCTATTCCGCAATGGGGCTAGTTCCGGATACAACTAACTGGGCCAGATCACGTGTGGTGGCATCTTTTGTTTCGATCCGCATTCGACGCAAGCCTCGAATGCTGTAAGAAGCTGCAAGGGAAGGGAAAGTGAGGGTGTCGCAAACCGCAAAAGAAAACCCCCCCATTGGACTCCTATGGCATCCAACTTTACGTGGTACCATGTTTAACCACTGCTGGCCTCCCAGTTTAAGCTTCAATGACTGAACCATAACAGCGTGCTCGCTGGGTCAGGCGTTGGACGACGGGGTTCATGTTCATGAGGAAAAGTGGTCGTCACTGATTACGATGAAATAAACGTACTGGTTTTCGATGAGAACGGGAGAACGAAATCCTCCTCCCCACTGAGCCAAACCTTTGGACGTCGACACGTTTCCGATGATTCGTGCAACTAACAGCCTATCAAGTAAGACGGAAAAGGTATCCGGAAGCATGCTGCGATAGAATTCGTGCAGAACACCTGCCCAGTGCCCACTCCGTTTAGCCCCTGTGGCCACTGGGGCCGCCGCCGCCGAATCAGCAAAGCACCCCTTCGCCAAAGGATTTTACGCGATCTGCATTGAAATCCGACGGAGAAGGACTCAAAGTGAGAGATGACATAGAGCCAATGAAAGGACGTCAATCAGACGGTACGGTACAGAATCAGGTAGGAGGAACTACTTTGACCAGGATTACTGTGGACGACTATCTACAACCGACATGAACGAAAACCCAACATGGCATCCCAATGGTTGTTCAATCATGGCGTCGGGCCCTCGGTTACATAATTCGATGGCTCCGTCATCCTAAGGCCCCAGCCAGGGATCCAGTCACTATACCATTTCACGAAGCGTATCGCCTGGGTCGGGATTTTTTTTTAAGAGTCTAATGTGCTGCAGCGTCCCTTCGTCGTACCTGGAAACTATCGGTTGTCTTTTGGAAACGGCCCGTACGCAAGTCCCCGTGCGAGCTGGTAACTATTGCTTTCTTTTCTTTTCTCTTTCCTTTTTTTTTTTTTTTTCTTTTTGTTTCCTAGTTTAAATTAGGTTTTATCTTTTTTTTTTTTTTCTCGCTTTCCTCCTTCGTTGTGCAGCGTCCACCCGTCCACCTTAGTTCCCCTTGTGGCGGATAGCCTCTGGCAGTCAATGCAAGCACTACAGAAGGATCTGCCTTAAGTGTTTAACAGTTCACTCATGATCCGTTTGGTCGAGCATGGTCTGGTCAACCTCCTCAGGATAGATGCACCTCCTAGCGAGGAGCATGTAATACAAAGTTCTATTGAGAACCTCATCAGACGCCTGTCTAGGTTTCCTCATCTCATTTTCTTTTGTTTTTTGTTTTTTCCTTTTGCCGTTGACTTGGTCTTCATTTCTTAATCAATATACACTTCTATAGACCATGGCCCAACAAGGGTCATCCAGACCATTTCGCGCCATTGCGCCACGAACGCTTCCAGATCCTCTGCCGCCGCCTGCTCATCCGGGAGGTGGGTTTGAAGAGGCCAAGATAAGGAGAGCATCTGCAGCTTGCACTGAATGCAAAAGACGTCGAACAAAGGTACTATTCTTTTCGTTTGGTTGTCATGGGGTGATATCATTCTTGATCTCCTCCACGATGTGTACCAAATCGGCCCGGTCTCGGGCTTGTTCCTGATTCCCTGCATCTAAACTCTCGTTATTCACTACTAAGCTCTAATCTCAATGTTATTTTGCTATAGTGCAGCGCAGATACCACCGGGCCTCCCTGCGCCGAATGTGCGCTCCATGGACGTGCGTGTGTTATCGATGAATCTGCAGACAAGCGGCGTAAGGTCGCGGCCCGACGTGCCCAAGAGGAATTGCGATATTATCGTGGGTTTGTCGAGCAGCTGCTGAAGGCGATTCGGCAAGGCGAGAGGACGGATGTGGAAGCAATTGTTGCCGTCATTCGGTCGGGCGCATCTCACAACGACATCCGTGCCGTTGTTCGAGAGTTCCTGACGAGGAACGCGAAAGGGGAGGCAGATATGCCGGACGGCGTGGGGCAGGGAACAGAGACCGACGATACATCGAAAGACTGGACTCCGGAAAGCTGGTCGTAACCAAAGTTATTGGCGCTGCTTCAAACCAGGGAATCCATCACCCAGCACGACCGCACATCGTTATACCGTAATCAAATCTCCCTCTACATCTTCAGAATCACACTTGTCGTTGAACTAATCATTCGAGCGCCGAATTTGATTGCTTAAGCTTCCTGCAGATTCATCCTGCACATGACTTGATCAATCTATAAAGGGACACAGAAAGGACCCAAAAAGAACCCAAAAGAACCTGGCAAGCTTATGGCGCATTCTTCAGAGGCTACTGGCTACTTTATTTGATATTCTCCCACCTGTCTCCTGTGATCACCTATCTTCGAATAACCTCCCTTGTGCCCTCTGCAGTTTCCGAAGCCATGTGAGGAAGAGTTCAAGCCCATACCCAAACCGCGTGGTTTGCATTTTCCAGAGCAACATTGCAGGATACCCGATTAAAGGGTCCTACTTTCATTCTGTTCAGCATGGGTCACTCTGCGGCACTAACGCAGGTTGGCCGTCGCGCCGGCTGGTGAGCCCACGGTTGTTAACCTTCTATTCTGCACAGCAAGAATCAACGATCAATGTTTAGGCAGGCACAACATCGGGCCTTAGTTCACGGGAGTGATGGTGTTATTGTTCCTTTCTTGCTCTATATCTTGTGCTAGCGATGAATTTGGACCCTGTTCTCGCTCCACGCATTAGTGTCGCCAAATTGAAAACCAGCCGCTATGTTTCTCCTCCGAATGCAATTTCAGTATTAAATGGAGCTTTAGTCAGTCCTAGATAGAGGTCAGCATATGATCCAAAATGGCAGCGGTTGTCCTCGCAGGCTGAGCATCCACCAGACATGAGGACATGCTTCAGATTTGATCGACCCTACTCAAAATATTGAGCTTGTTCATGCTATGGTACGGTGGACTAGTAATGACCATACCAGTGCATACCTTAGCATGGTCGTATGCATCCAATCCCTCCTGGGAGCGTTGACACGAATTTTATGGCAGGACGCACTAACCGCACAACTTGATTTTTTTGGTTCTCTGTGTTTTCCGCCGATTGCAGGTCCAGCACTGTCGGTTTTATAACCTTTTCCTCTTTTTTTTTTTTTTTTTTTTTTTTTTCCTTTTTTTTTTTTTTTTTTTTTTTTTTTTTTTTTTTTTTCTTCTTTTTGGCGGTCTGCTTCTACCTGTGGAAAGGGATCATTCTGATATTCTTCTATCTTGCTATCTTGGCCGTCATGGCCCTGTCAATGAGTGACTAAGCCAACCAGGTGACCGGCAGATGACCGGCTGCTTGGCCCCGAACTCTTCGATTCCCAACGTTAACCTTTACCCTCTATCGGTATTCGGTCCCCCTCGTGATGGAGTATACGAGCGGGCAAGACCTCAATAGTGCTCTCACCATCGTCTCTCTCGCAGTGTATTTTGTTGCATATTATTGAGAAACACCGTCATGATGTTTTTTTTTTACATAGATACGTCGGCAGTGAACCATTTCGGCCCCGGATACTCTTTGCCGGAGTGTGGAGTCACTAAGTATGCTTTAGTTCGCGGACCCCCGCACGTCAAACAGAATCCGTTCAATCCCCGGAAATTTCTCCTGATGAAAACTGCCATTCCACTTTCTCACGTCCACCTTAAAGAGGCGGAAAACCAAAAAAAGGAAACACAGGGGCAGGGCGGGGCTGTGACTTATGCAATCTTTAGCAGTAACTCCTATCAAGTGACGTGACGTGTCTCCTACCGATCCGATGGCAACAGGTCTCATTAGGGCAGATGCGCAGCTGTCACTCGGAAATGCTTGTCATGCTAGAAGAGCTACAGGTCTAGGGCCAAGCGAAACCTTTCGTCCGGGACAAAAAAGAAAGCCATCTGAGTCATCATTATCGCCTAAGCCAAGCAATACAAGACAGAAAATCACGAGAGCCTGTGATCACTGCAAGGAGAAGAAGACCCGATGTACTGGAACACTTCCGTGTATGAGATGCACAAAGCTCTCGCTTCCTTGCGAATACAATGCCGCTTACTCCAGAGGCCTGCCTCCAGAGCCTCTACCGGCACCCCCAGCCGTAGCGGCTGACTACGCAAACCGAAATCATGGTCTTTCGCCGACATACACTAATCGGAGCTATTCCTCTCAGCGGTCGACAAGGAGCTGTTCCCGGGCTGCCACTGGTTCGTATCGGCAGCATAAGAATGACGCGGAGATCTCAGGTCGTAACTCACCCGACCCCGTGGTCACTGATTTCGAGGGCAATTACCTTGGTCCTGCGTCGGGAGTCTCCTTCCTTAACCGTGTTTGGCGTCGTCTTCACCAGGATGAAATAGGGGCGGTTCCTGGTGACTTTCAGAAAGAGTCGTGCTCCAAAAGCACATCCGTGTTCATGTTTGGTGACAGACCCTACTCAGACGACCGGGAAGCTGGCTTTACTCTTCCCTCGATTGAGCGGGCGCGAGAGTTGGTTGAAATATATTTCGACTTCTCTATGGTTACCTACCGCTTCCTGCATAGAGGAACTGTAGAGGATTGGCTGAAACAAGTGTATGAGAGCAATATCTCTTCCCTGAATCCACCCACTGGCCCAATGGTAGCTCGAGCAGCGATTGTCCTTATAATATTTGCTGTAGGCTCACTGCATGAAGAACTGAAACCAGAGCATGATATCGACGTTTGGAATGGAAGGTAAGCACGTATACCGGTGCTGTCACACTCTCCGAAGAAATACTGAACACTTGTAGCGAGCAATGGTACGCTGCTTCAAAATATCTATTATCCCTAGAGTCAGGACCTCCCCGGCTGGAGTCAGTACAAGCGAGGTTAGGCCAATGCCTTTACCTGCTTTCATCATCCCGAGCCAACGAATGCTGGTATGCTTTTGGGACCGCGCTGCAGCTTGTGACGGCCTTAGGGCTCCACCGAAGATGCCCTGCGAAGTTGTCGAAGAATGGCAATAGCTACTTGGAACGTGAAATTCGTAAACGGATCTTCTGGAGCACCTACACTCTAGATAAATATCTTAGTGTCATGTTCGGGAGGCCGAGGCTAATCCACGAAGAAGATCATGACCAGGAACTCCCGGACGAGGTCAATGACGAAGATATGTTACAGGACGACGCACGCCGAAGGACAGGAACTCCTGACTGTATGATGATCGCATCTGTTCTCCACTACCGGTGTGTCCTCCCCTGATTGCCTCATGCTGAACTTGCAGCTCACATCCTTCTGGTAGACTCGGTCGCATACTCGGTGAAGTTTCCCGGCAACTGTACACGATCAATCCTCGATCTCGAGAGCCCCCTCTCGAAGTCGCTGTACGGCTCACTGCAGAGTTAGAGGAATGGAAAAAGGCCGCACCACCTTTGTTCAACAGCGTTCGTGCGACAAGTCTCATTCCACCTCTATGTAGGCAAAGCCAAGTTTTGCAACTCGCGTATTCACATTCCATAATCCACGCCACCCGGCTATTCCTCTTGAACGATTTCATGGACCTCAGTCGCAGGCCACCAGTCTCACATTCCACGGTAACAAGCCATGTACACAAATGTATAGGAGCGGCCGAAGACGTCATGAGAATAGTGGATACCCTTGGCAAACAAGGCGTCTTGATCCGGTCATTCTGGTTCACTCACTACGTCTGCTTCTGTGCCATCACGGTGGTGTATATATATACCATCCAACAATGCCAGCTGTCTTCGTATCCCGATGCCTCGCGGGATATGGAGGATAAAAGCTACTTGTGTTCATTATTCAACCTCGCCGAGGCTTGTCAGCAACATCTTGCCGAGGCTACCCGCAAGAACTGCCCAAGCCGTCGCTATAGCATCATTTTGGGGGAGCTCAGATTAGAGGCACGTAGACAGACCGGATCATATCTATTTCCAGATGCTCTTGCGAGTGCGTCACAACAACCTGCTACTACAGCTATCCAAGATCAAGCCTCTATGGTTCAAAGAAATGCGAATCAAGCAGATATACCACAATCACTTCCGTCGCCTTCTCGCGCTACCAATCAGTTAGATACCGTTGCACCCCCAGACGCAGTAGCAGAAGCGTTTGATTTTAGCGAGGACTTTGGGCTTCTGGATAATTTGGAAGGACTGAATTGGTGGACGCAATTAGACTCCTGGGTGCGTTTACACTTATCTGCGCTTCGAGAGTACTATGCTTCGGCATATAACTGACAGTTGTATAGGCATTTTCCAACCTTTCAGCAGAGCCCTCGAACCTGGGTCTATGAACCTCGGGCAGTCAGAACAACAGCGAAAGCGTATCACTTGTGATTACTGCTGGCTGGTGTATATATAATGTTGTTATTCCTATTCTGAAGATATGATCAATTGAAGAACCTGAAACAAAACTTGAAAGCTCAGTCATTACCATCCACTTAGGTAACACCGCATTATCATTTATCTACTCGATAATACATTTTCATATGTCTACTTTGCTTTCTTGCACAATTCTTCCCAAACATATCTCAATAGACACAGTTAGTCTTCAAATAGGATTTCTAAATATAAAAGCAGATAAAAGCAGATACCACAGTGCTAATGGATATACAAAGACAACCAAATCATTTCTACAAAGGCCAACATTCCTTGCGAAAATACGCTATCATCTTCCCAACAAGCTCCTGATCCAGAGGCCTTGCATCAGCCAAGGTGGTTGACACTTCCCTCGCCCGCTCCGTATGCCAGTTGAACGACCGTCGTGGCATATCGGTGTCATACTTGCTTGCGAAGAAATCAACAAGCTTGATAGGCGGGTTGGCGACAGGATCCGGGTTCGACGTTCGCAAACGCTGTATCCAGTCCCGTTGCTCCAGCTCCTCGAACTCCAGCCCCGCATCGCGAACATAGGGGAGGAGGTCCCTGGTCCAGTGGAACGGGTGGTGGCTGACGATGTTGAAGACCAGCTCCGTGTCGGGCTTGGAGACCGCCGTGCTGGACAGGGAAATGTCGATGACGGTGCCCGCAACCGTGTCCACCGGGAGCCACAGAGGCGACTCGTTGAGCTTCGGAAGCGCCCCGATAGTGGTCGCGGCTTGTAGCATGAGGGGGATGGCCTCTGTTGCATTCCAGACACCGTGGTCTTGGTCGCCGATCACCTGGCCAATTCGGAGTACCCTCGCACAGATACCCGCTTGCTGTGCGGCATTCATGCATATGTGTTCGCTGACAAGCTTCGATTGCGCATAGCCCATGTTTTGGGCATAGGAGAGCTTCTTGGGCAGGGCCTCGGGAATGTCGTCTTCGGCGGTGCCCACCACCGAGCTGACGGAGGAGCAGAAGTTGAATGATGCTGGGGCGGGTCGTTGCGTCTTGAGACATAGATCGAGGAGATGCTTGAGGCCTCCAATGCTGTCCTTCTCAAAGCTGCTGAGGTGCATGTTGAAGTTCACAGACCAGGCGCAATGGATGACGTCCGTGATCTCCGAGGTCAATGTGTTGTAGGTGGAAGCATCCAGCCCCAAAGTCGACTGGGATAGGTCGGATGGGAGAGCAACGATTTTCTGTTTCGCGGCTTCCGTAAGGCCGTCGAACACGCGACGACTGCGCATGGATTGGAGTACGCGGCCGTAGGCTTCAATTGGCGAGCCGGCGCGCACAAGACAGTAGATCTTCTGCACCTCTGGACGGACGGAAAGCTTCCTGACTACGTGAGCTCCTAATGAACCGGTGGCGCCTGTGATCACCTGTATTGTGTTAGCTTTGATTTCTCGACCGATGATTCACAGGACCTACAATGTATCTCCCGTCTAAGCCATTCGACATTGCAACGTGCTGCTGGAAGTCGCTATACTTCGATATCAGCTCGGCCATTTGGTCTTCCACAGACTGAACATCGGTTGTGGCTCCTGAGTTGAGGGAATCAAGATAGCGAGCCAAGGACCTGATCGTAGGATGCTCAAACGCCACATTCAGGCCGAGCTTTTGGCCGTTCGTATTGAGCGTCTTCATCAGGACAGATCGAAGCTGGGTAGCCTGGAGAGAGTCCATCCCAAGGGCAAAGAAGTCGGCATCTTCCGTCAGGTCATCTTCCTTTCTGGGCGAAAGAATATCGCGCAGTTGATCCTTGATGAAGGCCTTGAGCTCCGTTTCGGATAGGACAAGCGATCCGCTCATGGCGTCCTCCGCCTCGTATGCCTCTTCGATCAGACTACTGAATTCTTTGTAAAATCTTTGCCGGATAATGGTTCCCTTGTCTGTACGCGGGTAGAGGGTATCTTCCGGTAGCACGCGGACCATGCCTTTCGAGAGCTGTCCGTACGCCGGCATGGCCTCATGCGCCTTCTCGACGGCAGGCCAGATACTCTCAATAAGTTCCTGATCAGACATGGAGGCAGTCTCGGGCGCACGAACAACCGCCAGCCCGATGCTCGCCTTGCCCGCCCCGAAGACAATCGCCTCGGAGATTGTATTGAGTTGTCTGACTCTTCCTTCCATATCAAGGGGGTTCACCTTTTCGCCATTGACGAGGACGATGGTGTCGTCCAGCCGAGCGTAATACTTATACGCTTCCAGGGTTGGGTGCTTCACAAACAGATCCTTGGTGGCATAGGACCCATCTGGTCGGTTCGAAATCACCTTCGAAGGCCAACCATCGAGACACACCAATTCAAATATCCCCGGGTAGCGCTCTTCGAATCGCAGGAATTTCTTCACTACCTCCGACGGCCGGAGATAATCCCATTCTTTGTCATCTCGCGGCCGGAAGGAGGTCATCAGTTGGCCTGTTTCCGTCCTATGGTCTACGTTAGCCAGAGGTCATTACCTCATCATGCCCTAATTATACGTACGATCCGTAGTGGCTTATCAGGTTGACATTGTTCTCGACGAGCAGATTTCCCAGCGAGTCTGGGCACGCAGATCCGCCGAACATCACCGCCTTGAACTGTGCAAGAGCAGCAATGCCCTCTGCTGTCTCGGCGAGCAGCTTCAAGGCGTACGGCACGCCGTAGAAGATCTCGAGAGGATGTGCCTGCATGATACTCAGCAGGTGCTGTCTAGTGAGCGGGAGTTCGGCGTTGTAGAGATAGAGCCTCTTTGACGAGTAGATTGTCCGGAACAGCACACTGATCCCATGATTATGGTACAGTGGTAAAGTGATGAATCCAGACATATTCATATGACCGGAGTAGTTCCTGACGGCCGCTGCCTGCGTCTGGTAGATTGGTTTCGGGAGACCCGTCGAGCCACTGGAGTGAATGATCCACGCTAGGTGTTTGGATTCAGCCACCGGGTCCAGCCAGGGGACCATGTTCGTATCAACAGCAACCTCGTCTGGAACCGGGAAATCGAAGGATGTCTGTGCGGGTATCACCTCGACTTGCAGATCCGGGAGCCGCTGCTTGAGCTCCTCCGCCGTTTCCTTGAACGACTCATGGATGAACACATGGCGTGAGTTCGTCCTCTCCAACAAAGACACATACGCCTCGATCGAGATCCGCGTCGAGAGAAGCAGTCCCGTGTGTCCCAGCTTCGCCACCGCGAGCAGCATGACCAGGTAGCTGAGATCGGAGGTTCCCAGCAGGGAAACCACCCTCGGGGTCTCTCTCGAGGAAGCCCTCGGCGGGACCTTCGCAGCTATGGCGCCGGCGACTCGAAAAGCAAAGATATCCAGTTTGCGCAGGGGGTAGTCCACATACTCGATGCCGGTCCGTGGATAACATATCACGGGCTGTTCGGAACCAAGCGACGCACGGCTTCGCACCAGCTCGTCGACTGTGAGTGGCACCCGATCTGGGTCATGATTGACCCTCGTGTTTCTCAAGCTCGGGACAGGTAACGGTGTAGTAGTGCTTTGGGGGACGGTTGCAGAAATCATCTTGGATGCATTCGTGTCACTTCCACATTACAGCGGTAACTGGATGATGGGAGCGGAAAACGCACCGCTTAAATAAGAGGGTCAATAGACCTATAGCCGCCGGCAAATGACCAGTTTCCATCGTAAGGTTCCGATTCTGAGGATAGGCTTCATTGTTTGGTGCAGCCGGAAAAGGGCTCGGATATTTCTCCGGAGGCAACCTTCAAAGGCTATAATCCCCACAATTCAAGTACATAGATCATGCTGCAAAGCCGGTTGGTTCATCGACGCTCGGATAAGATGCTTAGGTTCGGAATAACGGTTTTCGGCTGGAGTGGTTATATTGTCGTTCTATACTTAGTTGCCACGACCGCTGCGGCGGCTTGAAGTCGGTATCTGCAGAGAAACAACTAGAAATATAACAAAAAATACATAAAATAGTAATGTCTTTCACTAACGCTAAGAAGAAGTCATTTTAGTCTTTAGATATAGTATTGTTAAAAGTAAGAGATACTACAAAGGTTTTGGTGAAATGAATGCAGAAGGTATATCGATCGTATGACTGTAGTGTATATTTTATATCAGTTTATCTACACTACATGGTCGATTTGAAATACCACTAATGATCTATATGACAGCGATTAAAATAACGAAGAAATAGATATTAGTAGCGGGACACCGGCACTACCAGAGGTTCAGCAGTCATATCATCCGTGCCGTGAATTCGCTCAGTGGAATAAATTAATCATGGAGGTAGTATGAACTATGTAGCGGGTATCATAGGAGACGCTCCTACTGGGAGAGGCTCTCTTATTCTCTAGGGGATGTACTTGAATACAAGCACGAGGTGGCCGAATACTATGACTTTCTTTCTAGCCCATAGTCCTCCTTGATGAGATCCGCCTCTTTCCTCTCTTAGCTACCGCATACACAGTCACCATGGTTGCAGCGCTGATTGCATCAGCATAATACCTCAGGAGGTGGGTCGACTCATCTGAGAATCTTATCTTTCACGAAAGCAGATTTGAAAACTCGGGCGGCAAAGAGAAGGCATGCAGTGAGAATTCCAGTGTCTGCTGCATCGTATAGGAGCCCTGGTCGATCATGCACGCATCCATAGGGTTTGAGGACTTGACATGCACACTACTACAAGATAGAGGGTGTATATTGCTCGCAACTATTGAATAGCAGGGGTTGTAGCCGGTGGGAAGGCCGGTCATCAGCTTACCGCGTTAGAGTGACCATTCTCAATCTTGGAATACGCAGGAGTGCCAGTTAATTGAATATCTGACGAGAGGTTTAATCGGATTAAGAATATCCTATCTTGTTCCAGAGGAGCAACGATGAGGCTGTGGAGATGAGTAATCGGGTAAAAGTGATCCGAAAAGTGATCCGAAAAGAGCTCCGAGGAGAAATCCCTGGGAAAAGGATCCCTAAACTACCAATCGCGAATTATGAAAGCTGAGAAATAGCATATAGGACTCTCTTATTATGCCGCCTAAACCAGGGGCCACCTCGGAGACAGCAAAGCCAAAGTAGGTCAGACGGTACTGGATTATTAATTGAGGTCATAAAGGGATTCGAATGCTATAGATTATCCTGGTCTAGAAATAGTATAAATACCAGATACAAGAATTGACCTCTATCCCTACGAAATAGAACTTCATCGTATCACTGTCCACCGCAATCTGAATAACTTATCGTACCGCTTCATCCATACTACGCGAAAGGTGTCCATCAAGATGACTATCCCTCCCGCGGGCACTCCAGTAGGACTTGAGATCCCGGCCAAGGATGTGGCTCGTGGTAGGTGGCCGGTCTCATCTACTCGATCCCATGACTGAATTCTGACCTGGTTACGCTGCGCAGGTTCTGCATTCTACAATGCGGTCTTCAACTGGACTTTTGCGCCTTCGACTCTGGGCTTCCCAGCAGATAAGCTGCTTACTTTCACCGTGCCTGGTGGAATCTTCCCTATCGGCGGGGCCCTCCGCCGGGTGGATGATATTCCAACAACTGAGGGCGCTCTTAAGATTTACCTCTATGTTGAGGATATTGTCGCTGCGCTAGAGGTTAGTACGTTGAAGCTACTGATCGGACTCGGGAGGGATCTGACATCAATTGAAAGGCAATCCAAAAGCACGGCGGTAAGAAGGTCGGCGAGGTCATCCCAGAAGGTGATAAAGGGCTCTTCCAGTACGTCGAAGACAGTGAAGGCAACGGCTTCGCTATCTACACCTACAAGTGAAGGGCCAGGAGGAGTTGTATGTCAGATACGAGATAGGGCTAACCCGCTGACAATAGTCAAGGCCTGTTGGCGCCAGGCTTGAGGCAATAACTTAATGAATGCGGCGTTCGGTTTAGCATAGTACTAGATATCACATTCTTCCTAGCATTGAAACTAGTTCTAATCATGGAGTCATTGATAGAGCCGCGTAATGTCGGAATCCCTTCAGAAAGTAGAACCCTGGCTTTCTTCTCGGATCGGAATTATCACATCTCCCCTTTACAGTTTCCATTTACTCTAGCTTGTCAATGTAAACCGCTGCTTTCCCGTCTACTTAGGGCTAAATGTCCGTTTGGCTTTGTTTAGTGGTGAGCCCGTCGTCTTGCAGCCCTGATATCGAGCCTTTGAGCATTCTTTTAAGCAGACACCACTCATCTTTCAATGAACATCGCGAGCGAACACGTCTATCTGCTCAGGGAATCGGTGGTAGGGTGTCAGAAATATAGCCTCTTCGCGACCAACAACCGTTCCCCTTGGTATTGGAGTCTCCAACGGAACGGAACACTTTGCATGGATTGAATGATTACAAACAATGGCTACTAGTGCTTACTCCTTCGGCGGTGGGGCAAAATCAACAGTGATTATGCCTTCTCCGTCGGCTTTGAACACTGACGGATTCCTGTAGTTCTCCGACACCCTCACACATAAATGCTCTCTCGCAAAATTGGGTCCAGTTCGCGTCGACAGCCTTCTCCGCGGTCAGCCCCGAGACAGCGGCAGCGGACGGGAAGAGCCTGTGAAGAATGTCGGCGACGCAAACTGCGATGCGATGGACAACAACCACGCTGCGGAGTTTGCGTAGAATCAGGAGTACTATGCGAGGTCAATAGCCAGCGTGCTCTGCGGGGACCGAAGAAGGGGTACCTAAAGGCGTTGAGGAATCGCGTTGGTAGGATCATGCAGAGAGGCAAGTGTAGAGCACACCGAACTGACAGCAACCTATCTCAGCATGGTTAGAGACTCGCTTGGCCGAGCAAACCGCCGAGTGCAACCCGTTATCCACCCCCGTCCCAGATCTCCAAGATGTCTCCAGTACTTCCACCGCGTTCGAGTCAAATCCAGCCCCATTGTCCGCCAGAAGCCCGTCGGCCTCGGAGCCTGAGATTGTGGCAACGACAATGGCAAGAGCAAAGATGACCCCGCAAGCAGGAACTCTGAGCAACAAGCCGGTTTCCGAACTCATGCAGGCAGAATTGTGAGTTCGTGGGTGCCAAAGAGGGGGTTTATCGACGACGCGATTTCTGACAGCTTATTTAGGAATCAGCTCTACTTCGACCGAGTCCATCCCTCAATCCAAATCCTTCACCAGCGTCGATATATGTCATGGGCCCGGTGTACGGTGGAAAGTACATCACGCCAATGCCTTCAGTATGCAATGTGGACACTGGCGTCCCTTCACTCCGCACAGTTTCGGCACCTCCACATATCCTTCTATCAGGAGACCAAAAGGATGCTGGACCAGTTAACCAGAGACACCAATTTTCTAGTCGATACAGAGGAGATCCAAGCGTGGATCTTAATTGCAACGTATGAATCCATGCGTACATTCCACCGATCAGCCTGGATGAGCGCTGGAAGGGCATTCCGACTGGTGCAACTGATGAGACTGCATGAAATCGACAATCCCACAAATGCTCCTATACACGTTCCTGGACTCGAAACGGAGCTGATTGAGACTGAGGAGAAGCGACGGGTCTTTTGGATGGCATATTTTCTAGATCACTTATTCAGTATGCGCAACAATTGGCCCGTCACGCTCAACGAACACGTGGTAAAACCGTTTCTGAACGCGAATGAAGAGAATAAATTATCTGATTGATGCAATGACTAGATCTGTACCCGTCTTCCAGCTCCAGAAATGGAATTCCAGAGCGGGCAACCGGTGCTGGGTGTTTTCCTGTCAGAAGCCATTATGGACCACTCCCAGGCAACGTCGCCGTTTAATGAATGTGTAATCCTGGCAACCATCTGTGGTCGCAGTTTATTCCACGTCCAGCAGCACAAGATCGGCTTTGTGTACGGAGGAGATATAACCCCCACCTGGTCGGAGCAGCATCAGTGGTTGGACAATATTCTCATCAATCGACTCCAGGTTCTCTCCCAGTATCACCCCTCACCCATGCAGCTTTGCGACCCCATGCTCTTGTTTGCGCATATAATGGGACAGGCAACCGTGATCTACCTGTATCAGGGGATGAAGTCCGTTCTAAGGACGATCGATGAAAGGGCCTTAGTGGTGAATAAGGAGCGAGCGTTGGTGGCAGCACAAGAAATAGTCACTCTGGCAAAAGCGCTGACCGAATCCCACTTCTTCAAGGTAATCACGGTCTCAAGGTCCCTGATAACCCAGTATTCATTTTTCTTCTCGTGCTGATGAACAACTCAGGTCCACCCTCTCATGCCAATTCCTTTGTTTCTGTGTGCCGAGTTTCTCGATGACGGTCACGCGACGGAGGGATTTAATTCCCAACTTCAGGAACTTCTGCGTATATTTCATCAATTAAAGAATGTTAACGATCCGAGCCAAAGTTATATACAGTTATTGGAGCTGTCCTGTACTGCGGCATCCATGGATCTAGCGAGAAAGCACTCGACAGTGAGCACGTCGTCCTTGTCCTGACCTGGCTGCCCAGCACGACCCAGGCACCGCAACTTGCTCCCCTGGTCAAGTGGAAACCATGATTGTGCATACCCGTGGCTGATCACGAAGAATATAATCAATATATGCAGCATCTACTAATTTGACTCTTTACCTTACTAAAGATTTAAGGTTGGCGCTAGCGCACTCGTTGACCCGTTTAGGCTTAGTCGATTTATTGTCTATTTCTAGTACTGAAACGCTGATCGTCACTTGAAGTTACTTTCCAACTATACTTCAATCTCACCCAAATATCTAGTGCTGTTTCTGAATTCTCCTTCGAAGACCCGTATGCTGTGCAATGTACGCGCCGTTGCCCCCACGCCCCCGGAAAACCAGCATTAGCAGAAGCAGAAACGGTTGCGTTCCTTGTCGGCAGAAAAAGCGCAAGGTATAGGGAATTCCCGTCATATCAGACCCAAGTGCAATTACTGATACCATTCAGTGTGATGAAGCTCGGCCACAATGTCTCCGATGTACTCGTACAGGAGCGATGTGCTGGTTTCAGAAGATGCCGCTACGGTTTCGCTCCGTAAATACAAAAACAATAAGGTCGAACGATTCGAAAGATCATCAGTGGGAATATAATGGGGTCGCTGTAAAGGTATCCTCAAAGCCTGTACGACATGATGGTTGCAGCTCCGATAGCATCGTGGAGCCTGCGTCGCCGCCAAATGACCACAGACAACAGGACAACCTTTGGGGCATGACTACGGAGCAACTATATTTATCTTATTTCACACAAGAATTGACGAATATGTTGCCGGAAAGTGTCCGAGCGGTAGCCTCGAGAATGACAGAACTGTCCAGTCTTCGTGAGGCTGTCATCGCCCTCTCAGCGGCCCGACTGGCATCCATCGAAAGCGAACAGCAACGGAGACCTCGCTTCCAGCACTTTTCGGAAGCGCTTAGTCGTTTTATTTCCGCGGTTCAGCATATACGAACATCTCCGGCGGATATAGAGAATGTGCTCGCGGCAGTCATCCACTTGGTCCTCTTCGAGTTAGAGGTAGGGACACTCTGGGGTGTATGTTGCCATGTTGCCGGGCTCGAGAACTTGCTCATGCTGCACCAGGATGTTCTGATGGAGTCACGCTATGGTCGTACTCTTTTGAGAGCTGGTGTTTTTCTTAGGATGCGGACTTTATTCTTGCTCAACCCACTCTCGTCGCTCGGTACTGAACCTGCGACAGGGAGGTATCTTCAGAGACTGGTCGATGAAATCGCCCAACCGCGGGAAATCATATATATAAACATGACCAGAGCGGTATCCATGACGACACACCTCATTCTGGCACACTGCATGCAGCATGATCATGATGCCTGGCACCGTGTGGCGGGCAAGATTTATAGTCGATTTCAAGATACCTCGATGCAGCCAGCGGATCCTCCCATGCTACCGGAAGCAACCGAAGGAAGAGATATCTATATATACTTGAAAGAGATAGAAGAGCGAAACAAGGCCGTCATTTCCGATTCGGGATATGAACCGCTCGGCACGATGCTTTCAAAGCCAAGAGAGTCCAACTCCAACGAGAGACAGCTCTTTCTCAATATCCCCGAACTCAATCCAATCAGATTCGATCAATGTGAAGAAGCTATATTCTCCGCCGTCTATGCTCTCTCCCAAATATACTGCGACGGAAAGCTTCTCCAAAGTCTGCTCTACCAACAAGAACTCGAAAGCAATCCTCATGTGACGGAGCATGTAAAGACAATCCTCGGTATCGCAAAAGGATACGACCCGGCCAGCTGCTTCTGCGACAGCGTCTACAACATGAACATTAGCTGGGTGTTAGTCTTGCTCGCCTTGCGCTGGCCAACTCAGGAGGTCATGCGATACCTCAAGGACGACTTCCTCCCGCGTCTGCAGCGCACAGATGCTCTGCGCGAGGACACCGTAGGCGCATTGCCATGCTTCTCCCGCATCGTGAATCTACTAGACACGGAAACGACTCGCGGCCGTAGAATCTACACGATGCAACCTGTCTACGCAGACTCTGCCGAGCGAGAGCATTTCTTCCTGATGAATCAGGTGCAAGGCTATGCCATCCACGGCCGAGACCGCGAGGGTCACTTCTTCAACGATTACATCTCTACCTGATATTAGGCTTTGTTTAACACAACACAACACATACATCCCCTGGGTTGAACCAGAATGAATCGTCCAAGGAAAGCCCATTTAATATATAATATACACATTCTAACCAAGCAGAGCACAAGCTACGCAAGAAATATACAAAAGGAAACCAAGACCCAAGAACCAAACAAACAACGCCTACTTCACCAAGCCACCCTCCCCCCTCCTCAATCCATCCAGCCCCTTCATCCCCAAGAAAAACTCCCTCCCCCCAGTCCGATAATACCCCAGCCCCAACCTCCTCTCCTCCCCATCCACCCGATCCTCAAACGCATTCCGTCGTCGAAAGAACACACAACACACCGTGATCCCAACCGCCAGAACCCTGTTCATCATTCCTGTAAGCTATTTCTTCTTTGTTGCCCCAGTCTTGTACTTGTATCGTCGAGATGGGTTCCCCCGGGGGATGGGTAGGTAGGTAGGTGGATTGCATATCCAGGATGTGTTTTACTTACACTCCGAGGATGATGGCCGGGATGCCGGCGGTCAGGAAAGCGCTGGTTGGTTTTTCGCAGGGGGCGCTGTGGGGGTCTGAGTCTGGGGTGCAGCTTCGGGTGTGCATTTATTTTATTTTGTTTTGTTTTGTTTTGTTTTGTTTTGTTTTGGTCAAGTTTGTAATATAGATATGTAGGGTGGTGGTGTGAGGAATTCACTAAGGGGGAAGGAAAGGTGAGAGAGAAGATTTCATGGGGGAGCTGTGATAGTGGTTGGATTTTATATCCAGTCACGGTGGTATGTATATTATGGGTTCTTTGCTTTATATAGACTTGGTGTATATAAATTGAACTGGGGCTATGGATTCTGACTAACCGGATGGGGCGAACAGGTGCGCTGGTGCTATAATTTCATTTTAGATATTTTAAGCCAGGGTAAAGGTGTTTCAGAGTGCTTCGTCTAGGTGGGAGGGTTATGATCACTTGGGATTTAGATGCATTTCATTACACCATAGAACGAGGAAATGATTTTGTACACTAAGACTAAGAAATATCGGACTGTGGAAGTTAAGATGTGTCAATATGACTCTTCTGAAGTACACCGTAACCCATGCTTTGAACCAAAACTCCATGTCATCAGGGATATATCAACGTAACAGGCATTGCCATATACATACAGCTTACAGAGGTTTATACAAAAGCAGGTTACGAGAAGTCCACAGGAGGTAGGCCTCGTTCCTCCAACCCAGCGAGGATGCCCTCCTGGAGTAACCTTAAAGCGTCATCCCATGTGATGGCACTCTGGGAGCCACGGGCCAAGCCCACCGGAGATCCCTGCCCGTTGGGTGGCTCGCTAATTTCATCTTTTGCATCTTCGACTAGCCACATCAGCCAGCGAACAACTGACACAGCTTTGTCGACGTCCTTTTCGTCGACAACGACACGCTTCACGTATCGCGCGAGTGATTCCACGTCCTCGTCGAAGGGTCCATCATCGGCGAAGGCTGCGTGCCAGGCGCCAACAGCATCCCGCAAATCGGACAAGCTGGAGAGCTTTTGGGAGGTGAAAGTGGGCCTCTCGGGCAAAGGGGGTAGACAGAGGCGCTTTTGTGGCGCAGAAGACGCCGAGGCCGGTGGCCCATTCTGTGTTCTCTGGGCTGTGCTACTGGGGCGTTGAAGCATCCGAGATCTTTTCTGCTCTTCAAGTACTTCGCGACGGATGTCCTCGGGTAGTGCTGCAAGGAACTCTTCCGACACCCCATTCGGTTCAACTGAAGGGGACTCTTGCCTTACAGGCGGGTCCCCATCATGACTAGTGGTAGGAGTAGCGGGTCTCGGGGCGAGGAAGCTCGAATGAGTGAGTCGCAGGTTGCCGACTGCTTTAGTACTTGGGCGACCACGCTTTCTCTTCGTCGGCGTCGTCGGCTTCTTCAGTTTGAGTGAGCCAGACGAAGAAGGGCGGGACGTGGAGGTAACCGGCACTACTGAGGCTGCAGGTTGTGGGCCACTAGCCCTTGAAGACTGGTCATAGTAGCCCAGGACTTCAGCTCGTACATCGTCCGGTAAAGCAGCTAAAGCCTCTGGGTCTAGCTGAGATTGAGGGGGGAGTTCTGCGCCTTCAAGAGGTTGTGCACGCCGACTCGGGGGACAAGGTGATGAAGGCCGAGATTCGCTGCGAGGCTTCGCTTGTGATATAAGCTTCGATCGAATGTCATGTGGAAGTTCAGCAACTACTTTCGGGTCAGGCTGGGACGGCATGATAAACTGAGTCCCCGATATATTTAGGGGTTTTTGGTTGCTGTCATTCAAGGACGGCCTATGGATGACGGATTCGCTCTCTCCTTTGCGAGGACTATCCAAATCATCGGGATCGTGGCTTTGGGGGACGTTCTTGCGAGCGGGAGACGTCTTGAAGTTGAGCTGTTGCTGGCTATTGTCGAGACTTCCCGTATTCCTAGATTTAAGGGGTTCCAATTTGGTCATTTGAACCCCTAGGCCTCTGAGATCACCAGGCGTGATGGCAAAACTTCTTAGCATAGACACAGCCTCTTTCCCCAGCGTTTCTGCTGCATTGGTGGCTACCCCAAGTATCACACTCTTGTTGAACACGTCACACTTCCCATGACCCAAATGTTTGACTGGCTCCAGTGGCGCATCCGCTGCCCTTCTCATTACCTTTAGGGTCAACTGCTTGCCCTTAACCAGGTTTTCGACGAGCCTCCGGTGTAGTTCTTCGCACAGAGATTGCACAAAATCGTCGGCTTGAGCCTGGTTGACGAAACGAATACCCCAATTGACTTCGGCGGAAACAGACTTCCTCATTACCTCAGTCCCAACTTCTGTGCGGTCGATTCCGCGAGCATAATCCCAGATCTTCGCTCCAAGTTTGGGTCCAAGCGTAGAGGTAAGTTTTTCGCGCGTCAGTTCCCTCACATCCCTCACAAGCTTGACACCGAGTTCTTCAAGTTTGGCTCCCAGACTGTACCCAACACCGGGTAGATCCCGGGCTGTTAGGCCCCCAATGAAGTCTAGCACAGCGTCCGGTTTGAGTTGGAACTGACCAGCGGGCTTCGCTTTACGCAATGCAACCTTTGCCTGTAGGATGTTCCCACCAATTCCAACCGATACAGCACAGCCCGTTTTGCTCTTCACAGAGTCCCGCAGATTCTGGGCTATCTCGTCTGCCTTTGCCTGTTCGCGATAAAGCGAACCTTCTGAAATACCCCTGCCATCCGATCCACCAGCCTCCAAGCACTGGGTAGTGACATCAATGAGCGCTTCATCAATACTCACACTCTGTACAATTCCATCTAGGGAAAGGATGGCACTGTAAAATTTCCGACTTGCCTCTTCGTACGCAGGGAAATCGTAAGGCAGCACCTTTAATTCAGGACATGCCTGTAGGGCTCCCTTCATCCACATCCCATTCTTAACCCCATGGGCACGAGCCGCGTAGTTACAGCTTGCGATTTCTGAGCCAGAGCCGGTGCCGTGCGCAACAGCAACTGGCTTTCCTTCGTATCCCGGATTTTTCAAAGTGGATACAGCCGCAAAGAAGCAGTCAAAATCCACGTGTATAATATACCGTCTTGTGCCAGGAGCACTTTTCGTCCTGGCCGGTTGAGATTGCGATTTCTCCTTCGTTGCTGCTTGAAGCTGGGCCTTCAGTTCAGCTTTCCACGTAGATAGATGATGCAAACGAGATTCCTTATAGAACTGCTGAAGAAAATCCGGATTGACAACGCTTGAGTTCCTCATGCGGGGATCCGTCAAAAGTTGCGCATTGTATGCCTCGGATGTCATGTCCGGTTTGGCAGGGGAAGGGGACGACGCAGGTTTTACGGTTGCTTTGATTTTTGGTGACATGCTACGACTAGGGTTACGGGTCGTATCACTTAGACTTGGCTGAGGCTCTTGTGCTTGACTTTCCCGAGACTCTTGTGGAAGGGGGACCTTGCTCGTTTCTTCTGTAGAGCTAAAACTTGGGAAGTCACCATAATCCGACTGAGACGCAGCCTTGAGCGACGAGTCAGCAGCGCTATGGGCCCCAACGATAGAGACTGACGGTTGCACAATGCCATCTTCCCCTATGTCTAACTCCTTTGCTCGAGAGGTGTACGGGCTTGGAAGAGTCTGATCTTTGTAGCTCGAGGGTGGGCAATTCGTCAGACTGAGAATGTGGCCATTGTCGAACTTGAGAACTTTCTGAGAATGACCTTCGTCCACCACCCGAAAAGTATCCCAGGGAAGTATGCGGCCAGCTTTGATACTCTCCACCACCCATGCCGGTTTTACAATACGATATCTTCGGAACTCTTCCCGCTTCTTCGGCGTGAGAGAGGTTGCGATGATATGGGTGGCCGCCGTCTTTCCGTCAAGATACTGGAGGAAACCGCCGCCATGGCTTACGATCAGGCGATGAAGATCCTGGAGAGACGGTTGAGTGTAACCATTTACATGCGCAACCACGCCGCGAAAGATTGGGGGGCAATCCGATGCCAAGGAACGAATCTCGGCATCTAGATTCTGTAACTTGATTTTCTTCCGACGCATATAATCGCCATGCCCCCCAAAGGCCGAAGCCCCATATTCTTCCCCCTCCTCATTGTCAAAGGTGTCTAGAAAGTAGCAATTAAAACCACTGACATCATAGCTTTAGAGAGGGTCAACGAACGTACGGTTTGCGATCCGCTTGCGCACGGTGCTAGAGTTTGCTTCGAGCACAGAGCCCATGATGGGCTAGAGACCGGTTCTCATGATACTGACCCACAACGTCAGCAATTTAGTTCATGCGCAGGACGCGAAGACGATGAGGGGACTTTTTGGAGAAGGTACGCGGAGTTCGTGACGGGGGAACAGAGTCATGTGATGCGGTGAGTTCAGGGCGGTCAGAAGTGGCAGACAGGAGGAGATGGAGGCGGTGGGCGTTGTGATTGGCGACTGGATTTTCAAAGGTCCTAAAAGCAAAGAAAAAAAAAAAAAAAGCGGATCCACTTATGCTCCCTTGAGGGATCCGCAGTTAAGACTAGTTGACGGTATCAATCAAAACTTTTCCTCAGCATTCGTTCGTCTCTTCTCGTCCCTTCTCTCGTGGCTTCTGTTTGTTTTTTCCTACCTCTTACTTCTACCTTCCTTTCACTTTTCCTCTTCCTTCTTTATATCCCCGTGCTCTCTTTAAATTCTCGCCCACCATGTCTGGTGTTCAACCTGTTGCCGTCTATGCGCTCAAGGTGCCTGCTGGAGGTGCCCTTATTCCCGCAGTGCCCGATGCTGCGGCCATGGTAAGTCAGATGGTACCTCATAGACATTGAGTCGTCAAGATAGAGTCTAATTGTTATGCGACAGTTCCGTGTGAGCATGGCTGCCATCGATCCTGACGAGGAACCTGACTTCGATGGACACGATACCAACCAGCGCCCCAGAGCCACCCTCAGGATCGTGCGCGCTCCCCCCGGACTGGACCTTGAGGACGACTCGGACGAGGACTACGAGGATGTGGACTCTGATGAAGATTCTGATGATGAGGAAGTCAATGGCGGTCCCAGTGACAAGGAGAAGGCTCGCAAGCTCAAGGAGCTTGCCGCTCTTAAGGAAATGGAGGAAGCCATGGACGAAGATGACGAGGACGAGGATGATGAGGATGGAGAGTTCGACCTGCAGGCTGCTATCTCTAAGCTCGTCAAGGGCAAGGGCCCTGCTACTGATGACGACGAGGACGACGAGGACGATGAGGGCCTGGAACTCGATGAGATGGTCGTCTGTACCTTGGATACCGAGAAGGTATGGTCTCTGCCTTGACCGGTGCTCTGTACTGTACTAACAATGATGCCCTACAGAACCTCCAGCAGCCTTTGGACATCACCGTCTCTGAGGATGAGCGTGTCTTCTTCAAGGTCACCGGTACCCACACTGTTTACCTGACCGGAAACTACGTCATGCCCACCGACGAGGGCCGTCATTTCCACGATGAGGATGAAGAAGATGAGGAAGACTATGACCTTTCCCCCGACGAGGATGAGTTGGATCTTGAGGCCCTCATGGGCGAAGACGATGAGAGCGATGACCTTGATGACCTCGAGAACCCCAGAATCACCGAGGTTGACAGCGAGGAGGAAGCCCCCAAGCTTGTTGACACCAAGGGAAAGAACAAGCGCTCTGCCCCCGCCGATGAGGAGAAGCCCGCCAAGCAGGCCAACGGTGAGGAAACCTTGAGCAAGAAGCAGCAGAAGAAGCTTAAGAAGAACAACGGTGACGCTGCTGCTGTTGAGAAGAAGGAGACCAAGGAAGGAAAGGAGGCCAAGAAGGTCCAGTTCGCCAAGAACCTTGAGCAGGGCCCTACCCCCTCCGGCCAGGACAAGAAGCCCGCCGAGCAGACCACTGGCACCCTTGGTGTCAAGGAGATTAAGGGCGTCAAGATTGATGACAAGAAGCTTGGAAAGGGACCTGCCGCCAAGGCCGGTAACACTGTTGCCATGAGATACATTGGAAAGCTCGAGGACGGCAAGGTCTTCGATGGTGAGTGACCACCCTGATTTTCGCGTTAGATGGAAGCATTCGCTGACCGTATCTTCTGTACAGCCAACAAGAAGGGCAAGCCTTTCAGCTTCAAGCTCGGCAAGGGCGAGGTGATCAAGGGCTGGGACATTGGTGTTGCTGGTATGGCCGTTGGTGGTGAGCGTCGCATTTCGATCCCTCCTCATCTGGCCTATGGCAAGAAGGCTCTCCCCGGCATCCCGGGCAACTCTAAGTTGATCTTCGATGTCAAGCTTCTTGAGATCAAATAGACGCTTCGCCATTTCTATGTATTCGGTTGCATATTAGCTTGATGTTTGGGTATCACGGTGGCAGTGTTGTCCATATGGATGTTTCTTTCCTATCTTCATGCTGTTAAAAAATGGTGTTTTAGGGGCTTCAAATTTCAGTTTAATCCATTTATCTCATTTGGTACTGTTTTCCATTGTGATATCCGACTTGTTTCCTTGCACTCTTGTGCATGTATACCGAGGGATGAGGATATTACAAATAGTTTGCGTATTTTCTTCAATAGACCAGCAAAAGAGAATGGTATGATTCTCAACCTTGGTCTATCTCATGGTATGTATAGGAAAGCCGCTTCGTAGGGCAACCGTGCCGCGTAAGTCGTGACTTCCTCCAACCGTCGAGGCAGATGTTCTTCCAACTTCCTCTTCTCATTCATTCGCCTCATATAATACTACTACCTCACACAGTGGCTTTCGCCCTGCTCGATCAAACATCCTCTCTTTGATTATGCACGCTTATGCTACTAGCATAGAGGGCCCAGAGAACATTCTTTCCTGTACTGCTATGGTCAACCCTTGGGAAGGTCATTTCTTGGAAAGGTGATAATAGCAGCAGAACAAATTGGAAGGCCTCATCTATTTCATACTCGCATTGTCAAGCCAATGATATTATCTATCGCGTTAAAGCACGGTTCATACGACCATGTCAGAGTCAGCTTCTGATGCCTCCGCGGCTCAGCAGGCCAGAAGAGATAGAATCCGAGTTCGTATCGGGAGAAGAAGTTCGCGGTTAATATCTTTACTCGGTTTTCGAAGCTCTCCTAACGGTAAGCTATTGTATTGCTATTCCATAATCTGTCACCACGCGAGCTGATAACCATGGCTTAGGCCCTACGCCGAGCGCTATTGAGCCAGGCCGCCCTTCACACACAGAAAGTTATCCTCAGGGAACGCAGTCATTTCAGTCTCTGTACACACAGCGTACACAGGCTTCTCGGAATGCAGTTGTTAGAGAGGTCGAAACTGCCCATGTCCATCCCCCTTCTTCCGCGAATCTCCACCGTCGCAGTTCCAGTGTATTGTTTATACCAGTCGGTCATTCCAATAGGCAAAGAGAAACACATAACGGTAAAACAGAGCCTACAGGGCCTAAATGTCTTGTGCCACAGAGGAGTCGGTCCACGCCAGCCGCATTCACCCACCTCGTGTCGCGCAAACTATCAACTACTTTTGGAAACCCAACGGTTATTCGTCGTTCACGTCTACGTCAACGACCAAGCGTCCGTATTGTTGAATTCCCGGTTGTTTCCATTCCCAACCTCAATAATCAAGGTGATAGTGCTAATGATAGCTCCGATCCTTCGAGCTCACCTACCGGTAGCGGCTCTCCATTAAGGGCCAAATCAACGCCTCCAACCTCGGCAGAGCCATCTATCTTCCACGAAAGAGCAGAGCACTATCATGACGATACGGTTGGATGGAGGCCGACGTTAGGCACACCAAATCCTGTCACAGGTAGAAAGCTTACTCCAATCGAGGAGTCTCCCGGCGTGTCACCAACGGTCCGTACCGTTGAAGCTGCTGCGAATGCTAAGGTCTTCTTCGAAACCTACTTCAGGTCGATCTATTCTGAAATCAACCAACGCTCACAGCGACAGCGAGAACTCGAGCAATACATACATTCACTACCTCTGACACTGGAGGAGAAGAGCCGAGTATGGCAGAACTGGATTGTCCAGGAACAAGAATATCTTCGCCAATGCCGAGTGCTCAAGTCGCGCTTCCATAGTGCTTGCCATGGAGAGACTGTATCAGTTGCCGGATTTGAAGTTCTCAAAGAACTGGGTAGAGGGAGCTTCGGTGTTGTTCGCTTAGTTAGGGAGAACAAAACAGGCGACACTCTTCCTGTGCCGACACGCCATTGCTCTAAGCCTACCGATTCTAGGGCAGTCAGAGGGCGCGAGAATCATCGTCGGAAAGTTATGGCTGGAGAGAAGAAGGACGTCTTTGCCATGAAGGTCATCCGAAAGTCAGCGATGATACGCAATAGTCAAGAGGGCCACCTGCGCGCTGAGCGGGATTTTCTCGTGGCGTCCGCAAAGTCTCGCTGGATCGTTCCTTTGATCGCAAGTTTCCAGGATATCAATTATCTATACCTCATCATGGACTACATGGTTGGTGGTGACTTCTTGGGTCTGTTAATGCGGCGATGCATTTTGCCTGAAGATATCGCCAAGTGGTACGTTGCCGAGATGGTACTGTGTATTGAGGAGGCACATCGACTTTGCTGGATTCATCGGGATGTCAAACCAGATAACTTCCTAATATCCGCCTCAGGACATTTGAAAATCTCAGACTTTGGTCTGGCCTTTGATGGCCACTGGGCCCATGACCAAGTTTACTATAACGATCACCGGTACTCTTTAGTTAAGAGGCTAGGAATTCAAGTTGATGGCGATGTTGAGGACCAGAAAGAGGAACGAACAAGAAAAGCCCAACAAGGCCCGTTAAACAATATCGACGACACAGGTACCTTCATGCCGCCTTCGGTAAATCTTCTTGAATGGCGGGATAAACATCAGATGCGAAGGCTGGCAAGGAGTGTAGTCGGTACTAGTCAATACATGGCCCCTGAAGTCATTCGGGGAAGTTTGTATGATGGCAGGTGTGACTGGTGGAGTGTTGGGATTATCCTTTATGAAGTAAGTCTTCCAGCCCCGAAATGTTTACATGTAACTCATGTGCCCAATACGAGCTATCTAGTGTTTGTACGGCTTTACACCGTTTGCTGCAAAAGATCGAGAAACGACGAAATGGAAGATTCACGTAGGCTTGTGTCCGGCGAGACCTTAGACGTTGCTGACGTCTCATATAGCATCACCACCAAACATTACATTTCCCGGGAGAGTGGGATACGGACAGGATTGTCTCACCGGAGGCAAGTGATTTCATGAACCGCTTACTCCAGGAGAAAGAGTATCGGCTCTCTTGTGATGCGTACCGCCAAAATGATGTTTTGCATTCACGATCAACAGCAAGACATCTCTTGTCCAGTATTGACCCCCGGAGCCGAAGTTATCGAAACTTCTATGTGTACCCTAACGATGCAGCCGATATTAAAGCCCATCCATTCTTTCGCGGTATCAAATGGGAACAGCTCCATCAGTCCAGTCCGCCCTTTGTCCCAAAAGTTAAAGGCTGGGAAGATACGAGGTATTTTGAAGATGCTGGAAGCGTGGTCGACAATGACGACATTTCGATCACCACGGATGCCCAAGGTTCCAGCGATGTGGCAGACGATACAGGACATAAACTAAAGCTCATGCAGAATCAGGCAGAGTCACGGCAAAGGAAAAAGGGGCCTGTCCCAAACGAGAACACTTCCATTGTTAAAGAACCCTCTGCTAAGGCGCTGAAGAGACAGAAAAATAGCAAAAGACCGCGGGATAAGATGCTACGGGACAAAAGGATTCAGAAGACCGTCCTCAAAATGCGCAAGGAGGGAGCCTTCGTGGGCTATACATATCGCCGACCGAAGGCTGTTGCAATGGCTTTCGCTCCCGAAAGGGGCCGGCGCTACCTACCACGAGGACATCTGTCCGAGATCTATGGATTGTAGCATGTTCAACAAGTCGAGGTATATCTCACTGTGCAGCCCGTGGATATGTTTCAGTGGGCAATTCGAACGGCGCGTGCCAAAAAGCGCAAGGCTTTCATGTATTTTTAGATATCAGTACTCAATGACAAATTCATACGAAGACCTGAATTATAGGCTCAGGTTAAATTGCTAGATGCTTATTAACCTTCTACTAAGGTACTGCATTGCATGTAGTATCATAAATCTCGGGGAGAGTCACGTCATAAACCCCCATATCACAGACCGAAGTCTTCAAAAGAAGAGATAATGCGAATAAAATAAGTATGCTAAGGGTATCACAAACAAAACATGATAGCAGTGACCTCGCCAAATCCGTCATAGTAGAATGAATACTTCCCAGTTTAAATGGCGGGAGGAGCGCCCATAGCGAAAGCAGAATCGCTGACACGGTCTTCGGGTTTCATCGTGCCGTTGAGGAGGGGACAAAGTCTGTTGATTCAATCACAAGAATGTTAGCGTTCCGCTACTTTCGACCCTGGCTTGGGTCTGGATATGAAACTGGGTCCTTGGGGGGTCATTTGCGTCTGGGGGCCTATCTGCATATTGATATTGCCGAGGTCTGAAGTAGACATCTGAAGCATTGCAGCCGGAGTCCTTGTTCTTCTCCTTGCTCTTGGGCGAGCAGAAAGGGATTCAGGGGAAGTGAAAGAAGAAGCAAAGAAGGGGAGAGGGGCTCTATCAGAAGCACAGAGGGGATTTGCAGAGGGGACGCACTTCTTGTTGGTCTTGATGTGACCGACTTGGCCGCAGTTGGCGCATTTGCGTTGGGTGCCTGCTCCTTTGCCGCTGCCACCGGGGCCTCCGTCGGCTGGGGAATCGCCGGCGGATGTGCGGGTCGCGCCTTTTTGTTTCTCCCGCGCGAATCGTCGCTCCTTGTTTCTGTTTAGACGGCTGAGTTCGGCTTCGAGGCTGTGTGTTTTGGTAAGTTATTGCTTTGTTTTCTAGGGTCGGGGTTGAGATGAGGGTTATGTTAATGACGTACAGTTTCTTGTTGCGGGCGTCTACTTCTGGGTCGCCTGTTGGTTGGAGGTTCTCGAGTCTGGGGTTGTGGTTAGTTTGAGGGTGCTGTTGTGGTCCTCGTGTCGGTTGTACTTACTTGGTGGTTAGAGCCTCCAGCTTGTGGCGATGTTGTATATAGTGACGGATGACCCGAGGATCCCAGACCATGGTTTCTTTGGAATATATCTGGCCCTTGTCGTCCTTGTATTGGCGAACGATGCGCAAGACCTTGCCTCTCTGATCCGGCATGCTCATTTTGCTGAACTGGCTGGTTGTTTCGTCATCACGGCGGCCCGGGCCTGGTGTGGGGGCTTCAGATCTCGGGGTAGGCTTGTTGAATTCTTCTTCTAATTCACGGTCAATGTCACTGTCATCGTCCGAATGCTCGACCGTCGACGAAAGGCTAGCTTTTTGCGCATCCCAAATCCGACGGATCGAGGTTTCGTATGACTTTTGTTGTCTGGCGACGTTGTAACTGTGACCGCCGAGCTCTTTCAGTCTCTGGGCATCTAGCTTGTCTTCAACACTTTCGCCAATGGCCTTGAAACCTCCCTTCATGGAGGTCTTGATGAAACTAAAGCCCTCGCCACGGCCGGTGGGGTCACCCTCCCCATGTAGTTTGAGCATAGCCTTGCCCTGGGATGCCAGAAGGAAATTGCGAGTCGCCTTCCAGGGAGCCATCTGCTGTTCGAAACTCTCTGTTTCTTCGTCATTGTCCTCGTCACCTCCTGTTTCGGCATCGTTGCCATATCCCGTGTCATGCAGATGCTGCTGGCCGACCTGCATCGATTCCAGGAGACATACGTCCTCGGGCTGAACCCATGAGCGGATTACGTCCTGCTCAGGGACGGGCTCTAACGGCACCCAGTATTTCGAATCTTTGTCGTGTTGGAGGAAGTCCTTGACCTTCTGGCGGTTCTGCATATCACTGGTGCCAGGGATGTGAGCGGTGACGTCGCTGATCGAAAGCCGCAGATCAGGGCTCTTCTTCAGGAGACGGTACACAAGCATCTTCATGCGATTCTTTGCAACAGTGGTGACCTTCCTGGAATGAGGGCCTGGAATATCCACGGATGGGAACTGTTGACCAGCGACAAACAGGTTTTCGATGTTCCTAATAAAGTAATCACTGCCTCCGGAACCAGTGCTACTACGTATAATTAAGAAATCCGTAGACTTGGCCTGATGTTGGAACAGTGGAGCCCGATACATCGAGTTGGAGATGGCTGGGGTAATCTCGCCTGGGTCAACATGACCAAAAATGGAGAAAGGACTCTTATCCTGAGGTAGGAGAACTGCTGTTTCACCGATTTCGGCTTTCGGGCGAGTGGGATCGTCCATATTCTTCCGGCGATAGTAATTAATAATTCGATTAGACATACCAAAATTCGACAGCATGACGGGGACTTCCTCAGAATACTCCACCAGTAAGGCACTGGAGTTGTCGGCAAGGGACAGTGCCTTAGTCGAATTGTACAGTGTCTTGACATCTTTGCCCCTTTGGTGCTTGCGTTTGATATAAGTAGCGTTTTTGAACCAACAAGTTTGGCCGGGCCGGAAAGCCAAAGCTGGGCGATGGAATGACCGAGCCTCTGCTTTGGCAAGCTCGGTCTTGTAATATGGCCATTGTAAACGAAGAGCCGGCATACTGTGCTCGAGAGTGACATTGCCCAAGGTGCTTCGGACCTTGTTCTGGTGGTTTTGTTTCAGCATATCGTATGCTTGATCGTTCGATATGTTATACCGCGAAGTGAGGCGGCGAGTGACGTTTACATCCATCTCATCCCGATTAAGAGCACCAATAGCCTTCGGTTTCTGTGTCGCAGATTCGGGTCCCCGCTCGTCGAGGAGAATGTGGGGATCGTTCATGTCCACTGTCACCTTTTGGGCGATGCGTGATGTTGCTCGTTCGGGATCATCAATCAATGGTACGTCTATATGAGAGAAAGCGATCAACTCCGCCGGGTCTCTACCAAGCTTGCGCTTTTTCACTGGGCGGGTTGTCTCCAAAAGCCAATCATCTTCAGCATCCTCTGGCTCTTCTTGGACAATAGGCTCATCAACATCCATGATAGAAATATCGCTCTTGACGTCCCAGTCCATACAAACAACGCGAAGGTCGTTCAACGTAACACCCCCCGGCAGCGCCTCGTCGGTATCTGTGTCGAAGTCGAAATCTTCCTTAACCTCTTCTTCCTCTTCCTCCTCCGGTGCAGCCTCGGCAACGGCCACCACACCCAGATGCTCTGACTCCAGCGAGCGCTTAAACACCTGACCACCTGATTTAAAAGCCCTCTCCTGATCTTGAGCGAGTTCGATGTTGACTTTGCTAGGGAGCACAGGTTTGGGAGGCTTCAGAGGTTGCTTGCCGAGAAAGAAAGCTTTCTTGTGGGGAATAAGTTCGAGGAAGCGAGGAAGCGTTTTGCGATCAAATTTGGGAAACAGTGAGTGTAGAAGTTCCTCGACGTTTTCTGGTGGTGCAGGTGGGTTGTCCGGTCCGACAGTCGACATGGCAAATAGAGCTTGTTGTAATTTCCATGCTCGCAGAGCCGCTGGGTCCATATCCTCGGCCACCGTACCCATGTTCTCGTCGTCCAAAATGACCTCGTCTTCTTCCATGGCCATGGGTTCCGGCTCAGGAGCGGGTGTCTCAACCGTCTCCGGCGCAGGTTGAGTCTGTTCGTCCTCTTCAAACAAATCACGGGTATCATCGGCATGGTCGTGAACAGGAGATGCAGGTCCCTCACCGAAGAGGTCATCGAGTTCATCGCCACCTTGTGGTTGTGGTTGTGGCTCGTCTCCCTGGTCCCCAAAGAGATCTTCGTCTCCCGCTCCAAACAAGTCTTTGTCCTCATCCATAGCTACCTCGCCATTTTCTGCGGGGACATGTGCTCTCTCCTCTTCTTCAGGAAGCTCATCGTCATCGAAATCTTCGTAATCCACCGCGTCGTCTGCTTTCTCGCCAGGTTCCAAGTCCCGCTGTAAGAAATCGAATGACATGCCGCCATCTGCGAGGGGCCCGTTCATCTGGCGCATAACACTCTCGAAGTCGGCATCTTCGGCATCGGGTGCCGGTAGGTCGGTAGCGTGAGGCATATTGAAGGTAGCAAGTCGAGAGGATCAAACGACCAAATCTTCCTTGAATAACAGAGCGAGAGGGACAGTTCGATAGTCGGCGATGCTCGGACAACTGGACGCTATGAAGGAGCGCGCATCGAGAACGATGATGACTGCGCGAAAATCCGACCGGCTATCAGGATTCTTGTGTCCGCGAGATACAATGAATTGCGGAGGGCGATTGGAGCTGGTTTCGCGGCAAAGCAGCTAGGTCCGACGTAGCTTATCGACGGAGTAACACTATCTCCGACTCACCTTACTTTCAGGGTGTGTGTCACGTGGGCGTACCTTTTGGTGGGGCTGAAACTGTGATTAACTAATTGAAGGGCTGAACCTTACCGGGTGGATCATCGTAGAATCCTCAGGCCAAGACTTGGGTCGTTCTGAAAGCTATTTTGCACCAAAACTTGAATACCCTAATTTACGGAGTAGTATATTCATACAGAAGAAGTCATTGTTCACTCATATGATAATAGATTATATACATGTATATACCTACACCAGTCTAAAATTATTTGATGAAATAATTGTGATTCTTGGTGACTGGCATCGGAAGTATATATTCTTTAACCACTCTGAGTCGGTCTTCGTAGCCTAAGGCATGCTGTCATCATGTCATGGCCTTATGCAGTTTAACACTTCCACATCCATAAATGGGAATTAGTTAAGATTTCCTCATTGCTTTCCAGTTCTCATTCACATAATACCGTATCGATAGCTGAAGTGACCAGCCATCCTTACATCCTGTCTATCGCGCTGTGTAATAAATAATCCCATGGTAGTAACGGGTATAGTACATCCACCACATGACCTCGCTTCCCACTAGCGCCAGTCTTCTCCTATAAATACCGGCCATTTCCCATCCATTTTGAAAATCAAGCGACTCTACGTATGTTTCTCCCCCCCCTACCTTGGGAAAATTAAACACAAAGAATGATGGCTAACTTTCAACTACAGTTCAAAGAATCACTTTAGAGTAGACGTCCCACCTCTGAACTCTTCTAAAGAGCTACAGAATCTCCACCCTTGCTGATGACTTCTATGTCCTCAATGCCCTAAAGTGAAGCCGTGTTTACTCCCGCCTCGATGGCTGGTTTCTACGAACATCTCGCTTCGGTGAGCTTGTACGAGTGCCTTCCGTCCAGGGAGTGGTGATGATCTTTACCTTGTCTTGATGTCTTGACTTCGGTCGGTCAGATTTGGTGGGTGTTGAGGAGGTCTGAAAGGTGTTTGATTCCATTCTTTTTCACTGATGTTGGTGATGGGATTGGGATTTGGAGTTTTTATGATACCCAGATTTGCTCAAATTAAATTATTATTTCAAAACTTTTTTCCTCTGTAAAATGATCTATCTTAAAACCTTGATTGGCAACATTTTTGAATCGCCAAATGTAAAGTATTCTTTCTTGTAAATTTAACTCTCGTGCCGTTATTCTCGAGAAAATTTTCAATGGACTTCAGAAAACTCGGAATTTGTTCCGCACATCCGACACGACACCCGTAAATTCGAAACGCTCGACATAGTTATTATAACCCTACCTGTGCCACGAACTTTATTGGCATCATTCGAAATTGAACTATATTCGAAGCGATTTCTTGCTGTACACCGCGCCATAGCTCATATGCTACCTACTAGTAGCTTTGTCCGCAGCCGGCGCATATTGATAAGTTTCCCTTGAGGGCCAATTAAAAGCTGATGGATCTACGAAGATCGCACCTTTTGCGAATCTCGTATTGGGCGGCTAGCTGTGTCTTCGGGTTTCTTGATTAGATCCTTTATTGAGAGAATACTACCAATTGCTGAAGCCAAGCCATGAAGAGCAGAGCTTGAGCTATTGGAGGTTGAACCCGCCGTAATAGATGCATAGCGCCTTGCTAGCGCCTTCCATACAATAATGCATCACTGTTGCTTTTTCGCCATCCTTGACCAGTTTCGCGAGCTGCTTCACGTCCGAGGTCCGAGGGAGATAGAGGACAATATGGTCCGTAAACAAAGCGTATTCGCCGTATAACGTACCCAGGGAATAGGGTTCCATTGTGCTCATATTGAATACCTTGTCGGAGCGATACCCAGGGCCTGTGGAGGTGTTAGCACCTTCGAAGCTATAGACAAGCAAGAGGAGTTGAGAACATACCACCCCATGGAGGGCTTGCAAACAGAACACTATATGGGCCCAGCTCCTTGAGTTGGTTGTTCACGATCTGGAGACTGTCGCCCTCGAACCAGGTAATCTTATCCTCAACTCCATATATCTTGGCATTGTGCTTCGCGCACTGCAAGACAGCCGGATTCTTCTCAATAGCATAAACCCGTTTCCAGCGACCCGATCGTGCAAAGGCGATGGTATTACCGCCAGCTCCAGCAAATGCATCAACCAAGATCATGCGAGACGCGGGAGCAGCGCTGGCAATATGCTCAGCTATCTTACTGTAGCAGTCTTCTTAGTCCACCCTACCTCTCAAAGACAAGAACAGTCTACTTACTTGGCAACTGGCTCAGGCGTAACGCCAAACCATGCATCATCTGTTAGCCATACACCTTCATCATACTTGGAGAAGATCTTATAGCGCTGTGCCCAATAACTACGCAGAGTCAGCTTTGTTCCAGATATCTTATGCTAGAGTGAATTGCAGTAATCGCATACTTCTGGATATCCCAAGGAACTTCTCCGATATCGTTGTAATGGTGAACCTCCGGAGGAGCTTCCTCTGTAGCATGATCTCCAGACATGGTTGGAGGCGAAAAGACGATAATTTGGTATCACCTGAGTAGTGTACAATTTATCTATCACATGCCATCATTCGGATTCCTGTGAGGCTGTCATACAGAAATCTACAAAGCACCAACTAGCGATAAATAATCATGATGCCGATAAGTTGATAACGTGGGTGTTTGTCTGGTTTGCAACTGGGCAGCAGCTCTCCACAATGCGATCGTGTTTACTCCGGCGTAAAGCACCAGAACTCGGGGTTATACTTAGGTTAATACACCTCATCTTATACATTATTCTCACCAAGGCCGGTCATGTTCGGAGTTCTGAACCGCTTCATCGGCCATCTGGACGGCGAACCAGTCCAGCAGGCTCGAGCCACCAACGATAATGCATTTGGCTTCCAAGTACTCCGCAACAAGGACCCGGAACTGCCCCTGGAGCCGTGGTTTGACTTTATTGTTGGCATTAATGGGCGTCTAATTGTGTGTGCAGATACAGTATCTCTGTGTTAAAGCGATGCACTGACTTTACTATGACCAGGACTATCCAGACCCGAATCTCTTCACTACGGAAGTTCGTAACTGCGCCGGCTCCAGTGTGACATTTGAAGTTTGGAGTGCAAAGGTGGGCTTTGTCCAAATCTTGCCAGACCACATCTCATTCTGACTAATTTTATTGTGTGTAGGGTCAGAAGACACACACCGTCTCTATTCCAATTCCCCCATCCAATCCCACGCTGGGCCTCGCATTGCAACTTGCGCCTCTTTCGTCGACACAGCATATCTGGCATGTCCTGAACATCCCGTCACCGCTCAGTCCGGCATACCGGGCAGGGTTACTTCCACACTCAGACTACATCATCGGAACGCCCAGTGGAACATTACGGGGAGAATCCGCACTGGGAGAATTAGTGGAGGACCACCTGGACCGGACACTGGTGTTGTGGGTGTACAACAGCGAATTCGACGTAGTACGCGAGGTCGAGTTGGTGCCCACCCGAGGCTGGGGTGGTGAGGGCGCATTAGGGGCTGAACTAGGGTACGGCGCATTGCACAGACTACCAGTTGGATTGGGCGAGGAGGTAGAAGGCCCTGGCGAGGTAGTATTTGAAACGCGTGCGGATGGCACCTCGACACCCGTCCTGGACCCGACGAATCCTACCTACGGCCAGGGTGTCGCACCTGGTGCAACCGCTGGCGGCCATTTTCTGGTCCCGGCCAATATGACAGCGCCGCCTCCCTTGGCATCGCAGGCGCCACGAAGTCTCTCTGGGTCACCGGCGCCTGGCCCGTCACCTGCTGCGCGCCGCGGCAAGACTCGTCAGTACGCCGTTTCGCCTAACCGGGCGTTCGATGAGTATTTTGCCGAGGGGGAACAGAAGAGTAAAGAGCAGGATTATGCTCCGTCACGGAAGGGAACGCCGCTGCCTCCTCCGCCGAAAGGAATTCGGTCCCCGCCACCATCAGGAAGTCCCGCACCAGCGGAAGAGTAGGGGAGTGGATTAAATTAGGCATTCTGATCGTAGAGTTTCTTGTTTGTAGAGTATCATGAGTCTCCGGAGTTACGATGGTCGAGTGGGGTATGGTATACCAATTGATGGATTCGCAATATCAGTCAATCTTTCACGGCGGTGCTGCGCACCAGTTTCTACTACAGTGGATTTTAGACACTAACAGAATGTGCCGAACAAAGAGTCCTTGAATATAACTGTTTTAAAGTACACATATGCAATGGAATTTAAGCCATCCGAGCCGAAAATCGCAGCACGGGCTCCAAATGGCATCCGCTACAAGGAAAACAACCGAGAAAAGGAGGAGAGACAGACTGAAAATGCAATAATCTAGTGACCCTTGCTAACCAGCTCCTCCAGCTTCTTGCGGGTCTCCCCGATCTTATCTTCCATCATGGCACGTGCCATGCCGCTGTGCGCCACGCCAGTAGACCAGATCTGCTCAGCCCGTTCACGGAGGTAGAGGTGCTGCTCGGCAATGGCGGGGACCTTCTTCTCGTACTCCCACACCAGGTCGGAGATGTTGCGCATGGTCACCGGCAGGAGGGACCAGGCGGCCACTGTACCGAAGGCGAGCGGCGAGGCGGTGCGCAGCAAGATACCGCGGTTGCGGGACACGATGGAACCGGCCATGGCAGAGACAATGACATAGGCGCCGCCGGGGAGGAGACGCTCGCCGGACTCGGGCGACGGGGCCAACGAGGCGATGGTATTGGTGAAAGCGTTCTCGATGTGGAGGGCCCGGGACAGGAAGTCGTTGAAGCAGTTCTCGGCGGCGAGGGAGTTTTCGTAGAGGAAAAGACGGGCGTGTCGGACCTGAGCCGTCAAGATATCTGTGGGAGTAGGGGACGAGGAGGAAGATGGAGACGACTTGGGAGGAGCAGGAGGCAGGGTCTTCGTGGGTTCCGGGATATCGGCAGGGAAGTCATCATAGATCGGTTTCCTCTGCACGAATCGTAATGATTAGACTGAGACTCTTGGGATGTAGGGACTAGATCTCTTCTGGGCTAGAGAAGCTTAGGTCGGATCATACCGCATTAGGTTCCTCTGCGAAGGCGGTTCGCCGGGGATAGAAGGCTACACCTCCAGCCAAAAGAGTGGCAGCGATGGGGGCCACAGCCCGCTAAACCGAGTCAGTACCGAACAAGAATACTTGCAGGAGATTACGGAAGGGCCAGGGAGTCTACCTGCTGGAACATCGGCCGAAAGGACATGCTGCGCGAGGCCAATGGACGGGAGAACAAGACGGGGAGTGATTTGAAGGTCGGCTGAGGGCTTGATGAAGTTCACGGGAAAGCGTGACTACGCCAAGACTTTTTTTCGGCGGGCGTTCGGCTTGTGCCTCCGTCATCGTCCGGCCCTTCTTTTGACTCTTGGACTCGCCTTGATTTTCCCCATTTCCCCTCTTCTCTCCCTCTCTCCGGACTATTTAAGATATACTGTGTTTTTAGTCAATTCTGCACTGCTTACGATTGCACATTGACAGTCATTTTTACGATATCCATGTTGAATTGAGCTGCCTTCGCTCCCATGGCAGGACACATGCTGATGCCGCTGCGGCGTCGGCCATGGACCTGTCGGGCATGTCTGCAGCGACTGCAGCAGCCTCGTCGATCCTTGGAAACAGCCGCGTCGCCATCCTCCCGGTCAGATGTATACGATTATGCCCCCACGAACCATTCCACCCAGAAGAAGACCAATGACGACACCCTTCGACGAGTGTTCGATTCGCAGCCGTTCTGGAGAGAGTTCTCGCAGCGGAACGCCACCCAATCCAAGCCCACCGGATTGGTTCAGAACCAATACCTGACCAGCCCCGATGGTTTTCGCGCCTTTGCGAATGTCTCCCTACAGAGATGTCAAGCGATCGTCTCCAAAGTCCTCTCCGCGTCCACGCTGGAGGAATATCGGGACATGGCTCGGGATCTGGACCGGTTGAGTGATCTACTCTGCCGAGTGATCGACCTGTCAGATTTTATCAGAGTCATTCATCCTGACCCGCGCGTACAGGAGGCGGCTACGCAGGCGTATGCGCTAATGTTCGAGTACATGAATGTTCTGAATACTACCACAGGGCTCAACGATCAGCTGAAGAAGGCTGCTAGCAATCCGGATGTCAGTTCGCACTGGACGGAGGAAGAGAAAATCGTGGCGCAGATCCTGATTAAAGATTTCTCCAATTCCGCTATTCACATGCCACCAAATGAGAGACAGCGATTCGTGAACCTTTCGAACGACATCAGTCAGCTAGGGTCAAACTTTGTTAATAGTGCTGAGCCCGCAAAATCGCAGGTGGTGGTCGGCACCAATAGTCTGCGGGGCCTGGACCCGATTCTTGTCCAGCAGATCAGACGATGGAATCGCACTGCGTCTGTTCCGACGACGGGTATGATCCCACGGCTGGCGTTGCGGTCCGTTCACGACGAGGGTGTCCGCAAGGAAGTTTATTTGGCGACCCGAACATCCAGCTCGCGCCAGCTCCACCGGTTGGAGGAGCTGCTCAGCAAACGGGCGGAGCTCGCCCAGCTGTCGGGCCACCCCAGCTTCGGCCATATGACGCTCAGCGATAAAATGGCCAAAACCCCCGAGGCCGTTTCCAACTTTCTGACGGCGTTGGTGGGCAGCAACCGCGAGTATGTTCAGGAAGAACTGTCCAAGCTGCAGGCGATGAAAGGGGCGTCCCCACTGCAGCCGTGGGACCATGCCTACTATGTTCACCAACGCGTCCTGCAATATTCGCAGTCCCGGCGATCGCGTGAGCTGAGTGCCGTACCCGAGTTCTTTTCTTTGGGTACGGTGATGCAAGGGTTGTCGCGGCTGTTTGACCGCCTTTATGGTGTCCGGCTCGTGCCGCAGGAGACAGCTGCAGGTGAGACGTGGAACCCAGACGTGCGTCGATTGGACGTCGTGGACGAAGCCGAGCGCCATATTGCAGTGATCTACTGTGACCTGTTCTCTCGGCCTAACAAACATCCTAACCCTGCCCATTTCACCCTGCGATGCGCTCGGGAGATCTCCCCCGAGGAAGTGGCGGAGTGTGCCACGATGGATCATTCGGCACATCCTAACGATGGGATGGCCACCGCGGTTGATCCGCAATCCAAGACCCTCCGACAGCTGCCGACGATCGCATTGGTGTGTGACTTCGCGGAGCCGCCAGCGACCGGCGCGGGGCGCCCGTCGTTGCTCAGCGAACACAGCGTGCGGACGCTGTTCCACGAGATGGGTCATGCGCTGCATTCCATTCTGGGACAGACTCGGTTGCAGTCCATTTCCGGGACACGGTGCGCGACCGATTTTGCCGAATTACCGTCGGTTCTCATGGAGCGGTTTGCTACCGAACCTGCGGTGCTCTCCATGTACGCCCGCCATTGGCAGACCGACCAGCCGCTGTCCGAGAGTATGATGCTGAGCATGGAGAAGGATCGCCTGGCCCACGGTTCGATCTACGGTGCCGTGGAGAACGAGGCCCAGATTCTCATGGCGCTGGTGGACCAGGCCTACCACTCCATCCCGGCCGACAAAGCCGGCCAGATTGACAGCACGGCACTTTACCACCAGGTCTCGTCGGCCCACTCGACGCTGCCTGACCCGACGGACAGCCGGCCGCCCACGTCGTGGCAGGGGTTCTTCGGCCATCTCTACGGCTACGGCGCCACCTACTACAGTTATATCTTCGATCGGGCGATCGCCAACAAGATCTGGGAGGACGTCTTCCAGGCGGGCAAGGCGGCGGTGGATCGGCAGGCAGGCGAGCGCTACAAGAACGAAGTGCTCCGCTGGGGTGGTGGACGTAACGGATGGGACTGCGTGGCCGGGGTGTTGGGAAGCGCCAACGCGGCCAACGCAAACGGGCGACTGGCGGAAGGCGGCGACGAAGCCATGCGCGAAGTCGGTCGATGGGGGTTGGGCCGGGATGGCGTCTCGGGCTAAACATGCACGCTGCGATAGATCCTGTAGACTAGCTCACTAACTCACCAACTATAGTAGACCATCTTATATGTATACCCAATCAATCATAATACCCTGTCTCACATCGTCCCTCCTCCCACTAAACTACACTAACCTCACTTCTCTTCGTCTGCTGACCGTGCCAGAGAAGGATCCACGGCGCCAATGTACGACCAACAGCCTCGGCATGCATTCCCTTGGCTGCCAATCTGCCATCTCAGATGCATGTGGGTTTGGCATCAAGAACTACTAGTCATAGTGTCATGCCGAATGAGGGAAAGACCCGGTCTTTTGTAGCGGTGACGGGTATATTATATTAACTATATTATATTATTTATCTTAGTTTGTCCTCTTTTATTTTCTTTGCGGGAGAAAGTCTTATCTTCCTTATATCTGGTCTTATTACTTCTACTAGCCAATACATATCTGACACTATTTCATCTACTTTAAATTCCCATCTTTTCTGGAACACGAGATATGGTGTCCATGCCTTTTCCGATTTATCTAACCTATACCCATACCCATACCTATACTCATACTTATACCAAATAAATTAAACCAATTGCTAGTTATATACAACCCGACCCAGTCAACAACAAACCACCAACACCACGACCATCAACACAAATTCAACCCAACAACCCAGTCCAACACCAACGCAACCCAATCCAACTCAACCCCCAAAAGAAAGGACAAAAATGCCCCCCACCAAGCACCTCCCCAACGGCACCTACCCCTACAACCACAACAACAGAAGAAACAGCACATCCACATCCAGCTTCACAACCTCCATATCCACCAATTCGCTCACCTCAAAGCTGGACACCAACATCAACCACCACAGCAACACTAACAACAACACACTCACCCGGCACCCCACGCTAACCAGTCTGACGCGATGGGTATCCAGGAAGATGTCTCGACCGAGACTGCGCAATCATGCTGGGGAACTCAACGAGGGGAGAAGTCTGTCTGAAGACGAAGAAGACGGGAGAACGACGGAGGATGATTATGCGGCGTGGTGTTGGGCGTTTAGTGAGGGGCGGACTGGGGGGACTTCTCCGGGGAATTTCCAGGGGGGTACTTATTCTCATGGCTATGAGTATGATCATGAGTATGGGTATGCATCTTATGGTGAACATGGCCATGGTCATGATCACGGACAGAAGTATGACGAGAATCTACTATTCTCCGATTTCAATGAACAAAACCCTCCAAATGGCGGACCACATTCTCGGAAGTATGAAGCACACGGTCACGACCATACATACGCCGATCTTGGTGGGGAACAGGGCACGACGAACACGAGGGGGACGTACACGTTTCTCCAGAATCCAGAGGATCGACTGGGACGATACGAGAGCTCGGATAGTGTTCCGGCGGATCAGCTGGTGCGATTTACGCCGATCGGACACTATGGGTATAGTCCCTTGACGGCGGGGCGACCTGTGTCGCCGCCACGTCGTATCCTGACCCCGGCCAGGTATGCGGAGACGAATCGGATGGAGAGGGAGAAGAGTGATGAGTTGAAGCAGAAGCAGAGAGGGTTCTGGGGGCCGGTGAGGGCGCTCTGGGTTTCTTTGCGGCGGTCTCGGTGAGATATGACTTACTACATGTAATACCTTGTCCATTTCCTTTGTTTTTTTTTTTTTGTTTTTTTGTTTTTTTGTTTTTTTTTTTTTTTTTTTTTTTTTTTTTTTTTTTTTTTTTTTTTTTGTTAGTAGTTTTTTTATTT